TACAGTGGGTGAACAAGGTAATAAACAGGGACTAGAAGGTGCAGGACGGGGTTTTCCTGCCTGGTGGCACGGCTGCAGCCCATCATAGGACACTGGCAGGAGCGAGTGCCAGGCCCCCGCAGCTCAGGGGCCCAGACACCCCTTCTGCCACCCAGCAGCTGCCTGACCTTCATTACAAATAATGAATGTCAGACAAAAAATAGCCTGGGAACGAAGAGACACCGTATCCTCGAATTCCTGAACCGCTGGACTATGGCCCAGAGAGGCCCTGGGCTGCCTGGTCAACAGGACAGGAGCAAGTCTGGCTTGCAAGGCAGCGCAGGCATTTCTGAGCACGGGAGTGCATGCCGTCTGATGGACACACCTATGGTGGCAGAGCAGCTCTGCTCCCTCCAGTGCTCGCTTGCAGACCAGGGGGTTGTAGAGAAGGGGCAGGGGCAGAAGGACGGTGCAAGATCAGTCCAGGGGGAACCATATTTATTGCTCCCCACTCTGTGGGACACACACACACACGGGCACCAGGCAGTGCTGCACCTGTTGCTCCTTCTTTGCTCCCCACGCTGTGGGACACACACACACAAGGCAGTGCTGCACCTGTTGCTCCTTCCTCCCAGGCTGGCAACCAAGGAAGGGCACATCTGTGCCCACAGCAGACAGATGTGGGAGGCTGCGTGGGGGCTACAAGCAGGGTCTCCCTGCTCCCTGTATCCCCAGCCTGGCCCCCGAGGGCGAGGGTGGGGGTTGGGGCAGGGTACATGCAGGCCTCACACACTAGGCTCCCTGGGGCGATGCCTGTGCCCAGCCTGGGCACCGCGCTGGGCCCCCTTCATCAGGCCCTTGAACTGCCCCTGCAGCTTCGCCTTCTTCCTGCAGGAGAAGATGAGATCTAGGTCAGGGCAGGTCACCAGCACGGTTCAGAGATCCAGGAAAGCTGGAACCTAACCCGGCTCTCACCGTGGCCCACCCCAACCATGGGCAAGAGCACTGGGTACACCTGCCCAGGCGAGCGTCCGCACCATACCTTCTGTTGAGCTTGGCCCTGTTGAGGGGGATGTAGGCGTAGGGGTCTGGCCGGCCGGCTTTCTTCACGTCGCCTCTGCCTTTCTGCAGAGCACACAGACAGTGGAGAGGGATACATGCAGCCTGGGGAAGCTGCCAGCCTGGTGGGGACTGGTGCCCCCTCCCCCTTCACCTGGGGCCTGGCCACATGGAGCCAGCAGCAGTATCCCTGGGGGGGTCCCCAAACCCACCAAGACTGCTGCAGGGGTGTGGGCTCAAGGGATAGACAGAGGGGCAGAGGGCCTGGAGGGGCACAGCCCCATGGTACCTCCCAAGCAGGGGGTTTTGAAGCCTCTCCCAGCAACGTCAGGTGGGCCAGGATGGGGCTGGGCTAAGCCAATGCTCCTGCTGGCACCAACCCCGCAGGGCCTTGTCTTTGCGCTCAGGCTCAGCCCCACGCTGCACTGGGGCAGGAAGGGATTTCCTCCCTGCTCAGACTGGTTTGCACTGGGGGTTGACTTCCGCTGCAGCAGGGACACGGCCTGGGCCCTCTGCAGCACCCATGACCCCCCTGGCAGCAGCAGGACGTCCATGCTGTAGCCCCCCTGTATCCTGAGGCCAAGGCGACTGTGGCACAGGGTTTCTCTGGGCTGGTTGGGACAGGACTGATCCTGCCTCAGGCAGGGGTTGGACTAGACATGACCCCACAGCTCTAGGACTCTACCACAGCCCCATGCCTGCTGCAGCCCCAGGCTGGGCCCAAGTGTCTTGGGTCTGGGCAGCTGCCTCTGGCTGCACCCAGGGCTCCAGGGCAGGGCACAGAGGGCACCACAGCACAGGGGCTATCCAAGCTGGTGCCAACCGCACTGCCCCAGGGGCAGGTGCCATAGCCTTACCTTGGACGTGTAGTCAGCTCCAAACGCCGTCTCCTTGCCCAGCGGCCGGTGGATGCCAGAACCTCCCGCTGCAACACAAGATACAGGGCAGGTCAGGCAGGGCACAGACATGGTGGGCTGGAGCGGGGCAGACATCACACCTCTGTGAAGGATGGGGTCCTGCCCAGGCTGCAGCCCCAGGGGAGCATGGTGCCAAGGGTCCCAGCTCCGGGGGGGCTGACTGAGCTCCCGCCCCAGCCCCTGTGCAACCAGCCGAGCCCTGCCCAGACACAAGCCTGACACCCCCTGTTCTGCTAGGGCGAATGGTAGGGTAGGACAGACACTACAGGGCCCAAAGCGGGGATGGGGGAAGTACCTCTGTAGTGTGATGCGGTATCGCCCTCCAGCTCCTCGTCACCTGCCTCCTCGCGGAACCGGCGCTTCTGGGCCTTCTTCTGCAGAGGGAGAGGGGGTGGCTCAGCAGGGAACCTGCTACCGCCCACCTCAGCCCCAGGCCCCGGCTCCCCCAGATCCTCGCCAAGGGGGCAAGAGCTCAGGGACACCTACCCAAAGGGCCTAGAGAAAGGTCCAGGTGCCAGCTCCAGCCCCTAGATCCCCGATCACCCCACACTCACGCTCCGGAGCCCCACGTCCTGCATCAGGTCAGCCGTCTCCTTGTCCACATCTGCAGCAGGGAACAGCCCAGTCAGAGCTGGACAAGGCCAAGACCCTGCACTGGGGCCTGGGCTCTGCCACAGCGCCCCCACGACCCAGGGACTGGCTTGCCCCAGGCAGGGGACACCAGGCTTCTGCCTGGACACAGCAGGCTGGACCCTGGGTGGGGCTGCCCAGGGTCCTGGGGCCTTGCGACTCCCCACTCAATGCTCCCAATGAGGGCAGAGCAGGCAGCTTGTGCCCCCAGCATTGGGCAGCCTCTGCAAGCCACGTGCCAGGGGCTGCTGCAGTGACCGTGACAGCTGGGGGTCAAGAGCTGGTGCTGCCCCAGTCATGTGCCCCGGGCAGACAGGCCCCGGCCCAGGACAAGGGGCCCCACAAGGCTCTGTCGTGGCCCCAGGCCATCCCCCAGCCCCCTCCAGTACCTCTGGCTCTGCTCTCCTCCCCGTCCTCATCCTCGTCTTCGTGGATGATGAGGCGCCCATCCTCCGATACGCCAAAGTCGCGGCTCGCTCTCCCGGCCCGGCTGCTGCCTGGCCTTGTGGCTGCGTGAGCAGAGGAGGGGTCAGCACCTGGGCAGTGCTGGCCCCCTTTGCAGAGGTATCAAAGTCCAGCCAGGAACACAGCCCCCCTTGCCCAAGCCCTGCTGTCCACCGCTGCCCTGGTCCTGCTCCTCACCCAGCACCCGCTGTGCCACGTTCGAGTCCAGGAAGTTGAGGGGCTCATCCCCCACGCCCTCCTTCAGCCACGCCTGGCCCTGGGGCTGCCTTGGCCCCCTCCTGCCCCTCTCCTCCTCCTCCTCTTCCTCATCTGAGTCAGCCAGGACCTCCTCCATGCTGGGGCCAGAGACAGTGAAGGGTTAACAAGGCTGGGGCGAGAGGCTGGGGCCACCCTCCACTGCACCCCCCAGCATCTGGGGCACCGACCCTCAGGGCTCCCCATGCTCTTCCCCCAGTGGAACCAGAGCCAAGCCCAGGTCCCCCAGCCCCTGCCCTCACCTGTCCCCTCTGGGTCTTGGCAGCGCCTCGGGGTCCTGCTCGCGGGCGGCCGCCTGGCGCAGGGCGCGCTGCCTCCGCCCACGGCCCTCGGCCTTGCGGATGTTTAGCAGCACTTTGTGGTGCGTGGCCGGCAGCAGCCCCTGCACCAGCTCGAAGCTGCAGGGAGAAGGGGGTCAGGCAGCTCCCCTGGGACACTGCACCGGCCGCAGCGATGGGCCGGATGCAGCTCCCACCCCGCAGCCCTGAGTGCCA